AGCTTTTGTGAAAGCGGAAAAGGGACAGTGAATAAGACTGAATAAACTCCACTAATGTAGGTCTGTATTTCGTTATAATACAGACCTAATCTAACACACCCAAGGAAAGAAAAGTCACAAATGATTTCTCATTTGTAAGGTTAAAATGAGAGCAAATAAAGATGCTCAAACCTTAAGGGGGTTTTCACAGTGATGCCATAGAAGAACCGTTTTTTGGTTCCCCAAATCCTTTCAAGCAAACAGCAAGCAGAACCATTTTTTTTCTTAGTGTGAATAACATTTAATGATCTAAACCTTTTTCTGTTAAACAATAGAATGGAATAGAATGGAGAGGTTCCATAGATGTTAAAGATTTTTATTTTTTAAAGTAACTGTCTCAAACTGTGCTCTGATTGGTCAGTATACCTGCAATCAAAAGTCAGTGATTTGAACTCAATAATTTCTCATTAAATTGAAAATTGAGTTATGCCATCTACCTTAACAACTGTCTGGTTTCTATTTTAATTTCCCCCAAATAAATTAAAGGAGGAATAAATTTGTTTAAATTTGAATTAAATGGAGACTCATTACCACATGGCAACTATTAGCTCATTTGTGTCTATTTATGTTTTAAGCCTCCTGAGATATTCAAGACCACCTTCTGAGCAATTTTATTTTCCTTGTTGCAAAAATCATTGTTAATCTACAATAAAAATAAAAAAATATATGAAAATGCAAGACTAATTAAATGATTCAGCGCTGACCTTTTCTAAGAAATGACACATATTTAAAAAATTTACATAAGCAGATTTGTTTATCTGAAGTCTTACTAAAATTAAAAGTGAAATTAAATGATAAACTGTAATATGACAGAATGGGAAACAAACTTGCTGTAAAAACAAGGGCGCACAAAGGCATTCATAAAAACAGCCCTGAGGTGGACATATCCAGCATTGAGACCCCCTGCATTAGCCTGTGGTGTGTGTTACACAGAGGCAATTAAGACAGGATACTGATCTAATGAACTTCTAAGCGTGTGTGTGCTGTGTTAAGTTGTGAAGTGGGCCGTATGTTGAGCCACTGCTAAATGAGTGTTGCATTTCAGTCGCCCGGTCAGAGGGCTGCAGGCCCAATCTAAATGCATGCGTGTGTGTCCGGCCCTGTGGATGGCAGTCATTGAGCAGATGCTTGGAAAAAGGAAAACATCACACAGTACTTGCATTTCCATGCCTGTCGGGGTGGTCTTGAACTATGTGCGAGTCTGCTAGGCTGTTGTTAATTGCACTGCCACAAATAAGCAACTAGCCAAAACATGATTCAATCTGCTCTCAATTCACTAAACAGCATTTTTCTGCCCAACTGACTGATGGGCAATGGTATAATTACAATAATTTGCTTCATCTATCTGTCAAACCAGTCCCAGAGGATAATTTTATTGCTCAAGGGTTGATCTTTTTTAGCTCAGGAGAGTTATGCTTCAATCAAAGTTCAACTTCAAAGTTTCAGATGTTCCTCTTAGAATGAAAATAGACACAATTTGTCATCATACAGTAAGTGTAGAAAGCTAAAACATTAATGTTAATAGAATAGAGCAGATACTTAGTTTTGGGAGGATTTTATGAGAATTTTTGAGTTCATGTTGAAATCTTTGACTTTTGATTGCAAACTTTGATGTGTTAACAAATCTGGGCAAAGTTTGAGACACTGTTGAGAGCTATTTGGAAACTCTAGAACAGTGGTTCTGAAGCAGGGGACAGGGCCTCAAATTTAAAAATGACTTCAAACCTAAATGCTTAAATCACTAACAACAACAACAACAAAAAAAACTTACAATGATTATGTAAACAAAAAAATGAATCAATAAATATTATTTTTATTAGAAAAACTCACAGAAATCACAAAATAAATTTTATATTAATAAAAAAGTTTGAAAACAAGCATAATTGTCAGAATTACAGAATGTAATATGAGAAAAAATATATTGTCTGATTCGGGGTGCCTAAAAATATTGTGTCAAAAAGGTTGAGAAGTGAACCAATGCTATAGAAGAGACACTGTACATGTGAGACTCCTGGGGTGTTTATTCAGAGAAAAGCCTGACGATCAGGAGTCAAACGTCCCATTCCATTTCCGTTGCAAATAAGAAAAAAAGAGATGTTATAGAGATCTCATTTGCGATTTCTTCTTCCTATACGTTGAAATTTGCTTCTGATGAGCATAAAGGTCCAATTTAAAATTTTTCTCTATCACTTTACAATCAGCTGAACAAGGAACATCATCGTCAGCAAAGTGAGATGTTAATCACTGATAGTGAGAACAGATGAAGATGTCTTAGACTAGTCCAACTCAAGTGCAGGGGTATGCTGAGACTGTCCAAAGTTTATGACCCACAACAGATGATGAGGAAATGGTTACATCCGTTTTATTGTTGCTTCAAATTAACCTTCAACTCAGGAAAAAAAAACGGTTGCGCGACCTCTCTATTTTGTGAGCTATGCATATAATTTTGTTGAGTGAATTTTCAGAGATACAAAGAGTGCAACAACACATATAAAACGTCACACTGTAAAAAGACTACAGTGATCCTAGCCGCATTTATTGTCACTTCTTTTGTTTATTGCCTCTTTTTGATCATTTGTTGTATTCCTCATTTGTAAGTCACTTTGGCTAAAAGTGTCTGCTAAATGAATAAATGTTAAATGTGTATAAGAGTAAAGCTTCTTAACACACAATTTCCGATAAATTATGGTCTAAGTCAAAAGACCAAGACCAATGAAAGTCTATGAGATATTTTTTCAGCCATTTTATAGTCTGGCAGACCATAAAATCTTCTCTTCAAAAACTGCACTATTTGTGAAGGAATCAGTCTTTTGAGTCAGAATCGGTTTATCTAGTTCTCAGAACAGGTCTAAACGACTTGCTCATGAACTCAAAGTTCTCGAATTCGACGCAATCAGATTAACACTCACTGGACAGGAAGTTTTTTAGTGACGTATATTTTGGCCTGTTCCTCACATAAACCTACTGTATGAATTCAAAAGACTTGAATTCAAGTGCATGAGTCATAAGGACCATGTTTTTGATACTTTCACCTTTCTTTGCAACCTTTTTGAAACTCGAAAGTGTCAGCCCCCATGTGAACTATTTGCATGGAAAAGAACTAGTACAATGAAGAAACAAAGTCATAGAGGTTTGGAACGACATAAAGACGAGTAAATGATGACAGAACTTTCATTTTTGCATGAACTATTTCTTTAAATATGATAACGTATGGAGGAACGGTCCTGGAGCACAACCGGTGGGCAAATGCACCATCAGCAGTTGTGCAAGTCAAATAAGGAAGAGAAGAATTGATAGAGAGAGAAAGAGATACCCCTAAGTGCTTCTCTTTGGCTGACAGTGGCACAGAACAATGATTCACACCATTGCCCGCTGTATCCCACAAATGAGGCATTACGTACAGTGGCTACCGTTACTGCAGGAAATACGTCCTCTCTGTTCCTCTCAACACTCATTACATTCCCATACTTCTGTTTTCCTCTATTCATCCTCCACTTCACATTGTATCAGAGCAGGAAGAAGGTCCCCCGCCATGACGGGCTGCAAAATAACAACTGTCACCTTCAGCAAAATTCATTAAAGCAATTTAACGTTGCCGCCTTCCAACGTAATTTTTATAATTGAAATGAAATTCTCCTACTATATTATTTTTTTAAAAGGAGGGGGTTAATTGACATTTGTGGTAATTAATTGCCAGGCGGAGAGATGTTTATGTGGAGAAGTTAAAAACAAAAAGTGGCACGGAGAGCAGAATAAAGGGGCAACGTGCTGAGATGGTCTCATCATCATGGCCTTCCCTCCTGCGGATGAAAGGAAAGCAGAGGGATGGAGGGATGGAAGGAGCGACTTCACTTCGCAGTCGGAGATTTAATTGCGCGAGGATTCCATTACCTCGGCACAAATGTCACGTTTGCTTCTGATCGGGGGCAAAGGCGTGGACTGGCACTGTGCCAGATCTATGGCACAGAAAAGTGCTCTGCCAGTTGCAAATATACAAGCACGCTCACACGAAGCTGCAACGTGATGACAGGAAGACTAGTCGATGTCGGCAATACATAAGTGTGAAGGGACAGTGACACTAAAAGTGGGTCAAAGGCAAATGGCAGAAGTACCAACCATTGGTACTTGAACAAACCCATTGGTTAAGAGAACAAACCCAACCCAGATAAAAAAAGATCTTAAGAAAGTTTGGGGTTTCAGGATGAGTGTTCTCGTAGACAAGAAAAAGGAGATCTCTTTGCCGTCTAGGAGAAAAACAACTGAAAAAAAAAAATATACAGAGATCTTGCTTCCGTCTTCTCTGTCATTTCTTACAAGAAAATAATTTATCTAGCATGTCTCAAGTACAAAAGAGATCTCAATGTTTTAAAGTGGCCAGATACTAAATTCTCACAAGGTTAAAGGCTGTGCAAATGAAGACTAAAAATCTCCTGATTTTTCCTGAGAAAAAAAAGACCCTAAATAACTCACATACCCTCTAGAGTTTCAGGAATAGAGCTCAACAATGTCTCAAACTGCACTCAAATTTGCCAGATATGAGTAATAATTTAAGGAGATCAAATAGAGACTCTGCTGACGTCTATAGTTTCAGAAAACATCTCAACAAGGTCTCAAAAGTAGAGATCTCAGTATGAACATTTCTTATCAAATTCTTCCAAAACACACTTACTACATGTAAACACCAGCTTCATTTCTATCTAATCATATTTCTACTAGGGAATTTTATGAGAAAATTTCAAGTCAAAGTTGATACGTCAATGAAATACACATGATAAAACGATCAAATCTTCTGACATAGGAAAGACCAACCTCTGAGCGATTAAAAAAAAGAAAACTGGTTGTAGTCAAATACATATATATGTAAAATACATACTGTAGACCCTTTTTACTACTACACAAAAGTAGCACAATAGAAAGCATACATTTGCGTGGTTTCAAGAAAAATTCTGAAGATAACATACCACAGTCACTTGTTTGGACGGGATTGACGTTCCATTGTTCCAATCAGAATTCAGAAAAGGAAACAAAGGGGCGGAACCATTGGATACGGTGCAGCCAGCTCAATCTGAAATACAAAATGAGTAAAAACGACAAGAGAGAGACACAAGTGCATATTAACATCAGCAAAATTGATACCATACCAAACAGGAATTGATACCATTCTCTAAAGGTGGGGGATGTCCCTTAAATTCACTCAACCCACATAAACCTGGATGATGACTCAAATGAGAAAGGAAAAAGGCAAAAACGTGATGAAATCCAACCACAAATGCTTAATTTGGTGACAAATTAATTCCAGAACTGACCTAAATGCATCTTAACACATTTTCAGATTTTTAACAGCAAGCATTTCTGACACATGTGATATTTACACAGAGCATCTGATAATCAGCTCAAATCTGCATTGCTGTTCTGATGAATGGTAGTGACTCGATGGACGACTCATCTAAGGAAAAGCTGCGGCCACACACTACTTGACAGAATTCTCTGGAACATTTTGTCAGATCCCGTAAGCCGGTGACATGTACAGTAGCTGTGATCAATCAGCATCAGTGGTGGTGATTTGCGTAGTAAAATGCTTATTGCAGAGGTCAGCATTTACTTGAGTGTATTCTCATTAAGAGCGAAAGGGAGACAAAAAGAGAGAGTGACAGAAAAAGGAGGGGTAAAAGAATCCGGAGGGTTAAAGAAGGTAAGAAGAAGACAGAAACAGAAAGCGACAAAGACGGAGAGGAGTGTCTGTCATTCATTGACCCGCCACAGGTCTGCATGGTGGAGTTTTAATAGTGCGATGGTAAATTGCTCAGCTCCATGCTATTCAACAGAAGGTTGGCCAATAGACTGAATATTTACAATGTATTTGGAAGTATTTTAATGCCAATACAAAATTAACCAACATCATGAATATTGCAAAGATTTTAATTCGCTTTTTATTTGCCTATTAAAGGTGCAAAAGGTGTCTTCAGAAACATTTTTTGTTATGCTGGTTGAAAGTCTCTTCACATCCCGATAGCAATCATTAAGTTAAGTGGTCTAAATGTATTTGTCTGTATTTATATATTCTATGGAAGGCGTAGGATCAAGAAATGTTCGTCCAATCAAAACGTTTGGTCCGAGCATTTTAATATGCTTTCCTACCTGCCTGTCAACGTATGTATTAGCATACCTCTGCGCACCGGGTTCGCGCAGACAGGATACGTCATCTAGGATGGCAGACAAACATCAACAACCCGATCTTCCTTCCTGGTATTGTAGTACTTTTAAAGTTTTCTCACCGGTGAATGACACATGATGTAGCCCAGCGGTTAATCAAGTCCTCGCCCCAGCTCATTAGAAGTGAGCTACATGCATGAAATGTGTTCCGATCGATATGATCCCTAGACAGTGTTCATTGCTCCCTACTCCCTGAGCGGGGGAAATCCGTTGAAGTTTACTTCACTTCGGAACATGGGCTGGAATTGGGAACCGCTGATGTAGCCTATTGTAGTAATGTTGTCTCTGGTATTCTGGTCTGTGAGCGTAAATGCGTTAAAGGGGCATGGCTTTGGATGGCGATTGCAGGGAGGGTGGGACATTCGCTTTCAGTGCTATCAGGCTAAAGTTAGCATTTTCCAAGATCTCCTACTGCACCTTTAACGTTTCAAACGAAAAGCGGCATACCGGCTACTTGTATCACAACGAGAAATATCTTAATAGTGCTTAAACATGAGTAGCAAGTGCCAGTCGAGTTGAGAAATGTAATTCATTTCTGCAAATTAATATTTTTGTTAATTTTAATAAATCAGTTCATTGATTCATTTGGAATCATTCAAAAATGTTTACAGACGTCCCTGGACAAGATTTCAAATGCTTATAAAATGTTTAGTAAAATACATGCTGTTTATTAATAATGCTATTTTATATTTTTATTAATATTACTGTTTATTATTTATTGCTGTTTTGGTCTGCATTTTATATTAGTGCATAAACACAAATTATAATAATATAATACAATTATTAAAAAATGATATTAAATTAAAAATTTCTATAAATAATAATATATAAATGTTAGTTATTTTTGATCATTTGTATATAAATTATTTTAAAATATTTCCCTCTGCTCATTCACTGAAAAACAGCTCACCTTGATTATGTCTATCCACATTTTCTATATTTTATTCCAAACTTTAAACATTTTGAATCAACTCGGCAACAATGTCTGTTGGTCAAAAAATAAGCTTTTTAAGAACTACTACATAAATATCAATATATATTGAATACTGATATGAATGATACAAACTCAGGCCTGTCCCTTCCTAGAGGCCAAATATTCACAGTATGTCCCCAACAGACCCAATAAAATCAACCCTTGCATTACAGCTCATCTCCATGCAATTCCTCAGAGTGGAATTCAGCTAGCGCTAACCCCCTTAGCTGGCCGCATTCCTCTGTTCCACGTCGGGCGCTGAGCAGCTTCAGATAAGAGCCGCTCTGATTAGCCGCCCGCATTCTTGTCATTGCTGCAGAAAATACACAATCCCAAAAGACCCCTCTGCCCCCTCGCTGGTATTTATGACTCTCACGTCACTGAACTCCAAAAATAGGGAGTTTAAAAGGGGCAAGAGGAAATAGCTACAGGTAAAAAGAGACAGAGAGAAAGAGAGAGAGTGAGAGAAGTATTGTATTTGAAGAGCAGCTAGGGCACATGAAAGTGAAAGAGAGGTGGAAACTACTCCAGGATAGAGATGGATGATCTGATCTTCTTTGAAAAAGAGAAAGTGACAAAAATAATAAATTAAAAACAGCCACATTTACATTAACCTTTAAAATGTCATCTTTACCAACAGGAAGGAGAATAAAACAAAAACAAATGTGATCTTGTGGCAGGAAGATGGTGTAAAACACAACTAAAGACATCCATCTGAATGCGTATGGCTGTCAACAAGAAAAATAAAAAAAAACCTAGATAAATTAGTCTCACTCACTAATCGACTATCTGAATTTTTGAATGACTAGTCAACCAGTGTAAATCCACATTAATTTTATAGTTCTAAACTCTTATTGTATGTATTTTTTATTTCTTAGAAACAACTGAGACAAATATGACATTAAATAGATTCCTAACTTACATTTCAAGCAAGTATCCAGTTTGTCTCAGCTGTTTCTTTCATCTTATGCCGATTTGAAATGTTGCTTTCTTGCTCTCTCATTGGCTGTAGGTCATCGCCAATGTATTTTTCAGTCAGAACTCATTTCACACTAGGGTTGTAACGATATACCGGTATGTCGGTATATCACGGTTTGAACGTGCACGGTTATCATACCGTAAACATTTGCATATCTACGGTTTTATAAAAATTGAATGAAAAAAAAATAATAATTCTCACCCGCACATATGCAACTCATTTCCACTCGCTGCTTCACTTCGCATTCACCTGGCTGCTTACACGCACGTGCAGCAGAGAAAATGGCAGAGACAGAGATTATATTTCTATCCCTGCCGAATGCCGATACAAAAAGTTAAAATCTGCAGTATGGGAATACTTAGAATATTAAAAAAAACGAACGTGGGGTTGTCCTTGAGGACGGATCCAATTAGCAAAAAATGTGGACTCTGCAAAAGCAGGCAATACATCCAACATGTTTTGCTCATATTCGCGGACACCATCCCTGCGTGCAGATAAAGGTGTGTCGCATTAATAACAAGTTATAAGTTAAGGCCGTATGATTTCCGTGATGCAGAGGGAATCCCGGTGCAGTCGTGAACATGGAATTTACAGTAGGCTATAACGAGGATGTCATGTAAAACGCGCAATCTGATCGATGGATAAATCAAAAGTAGATATGATATGTGTCTGTGAATATTAAAGCACAAAGAGACTAAGAGAGCTTTCTGCATGTCTCTGAGTGGTGCCGTTTTATCTACTACATACTGAAGTACGCATGCATGACGCTAATGGTGTTTTCAGCATCTACATAAACATGAACATCACCAGAGCTGCTCTGAGAGAAAAACCATTGTCAAATACACTCTGAAACTCAAAGGTCCGCTA